GAGAACAAAATAGTCCTCAATGCCTTCTAGAACTTTAAGAGATGAAAATCTTACTGTGCCATCCCAGGTTATGGGCACTGAGTCCTCATGCCCTGCATCTTTGGCTTGGGGTTTAGCCACACACACCCCCTTGTCTTTTGTGCTGGGACCCCTGCCCACATGGAGACATGCAGCAGCCCCCTGGACTGGGGTGTCTTTGTTGTCCTGCCTTACCTGCCACATTCAGGCCTCAGGATCCCAAGGTGGAAATGTTCCTCATAGACACAGAGTGTGAGTATACAGATCCAGGAGGGCCTGGAGGCCTGCCCTGGGCATCCTGTCAGACTCCTGGGGTCCTCATAAGCCAACTAAGTCCCCTTGGGCTTCTGCTGACCCTGGGAATCCAACCATGCCCCACGTCCTCTCTTTGAGTCTGTTACAGACTATACAGGGAGGGGCCAGGTATACAGCCAGGATCACACAGTGCCCGAGAGGGGGCCCCATTGGCCCTCTCCTCACCTCTGTGCACATTCACACACAGGCTGTGCATAGCACCCATATGCAAATGTGCTCAGATGCTCTCATGGACACGCAGATAGTGCTTAGATGCGCACCCACATACATGTGCCAGCATGCTCGTGTGCACAGCACCTGCATCCATATGCACCTTTGCAAGCACATATACACACATGCACACAACAAAATGAGGGCTGCAGGGAGCTGGCTGTGGATGCTGTAGCTCTCTCTCCAGTTGCCCCCTTTTGTCAACTCCTCCCCTCCCCACAGCCTTTTCTGGGGAAACAGAAGCCTATTTATTAACCCAAGAATCATCATGAGTTTGCATTTTTCCATGGGGTTTCCGGAGGTGCCAGGGTGGCTGATTGCAAGATGTTGCTCTGGGCCCGGGGAGGGGATCCTCTCCCATCTCAGGCTCTGGTGGGAAGCGTGATGGGGACAGGGATCCATTCTGGGACATGGTGTTCCAGACCCCGTATGGTCGGCTCGAGTTAATCATCAAGTGGTGTCAGAAGGGTGAGGGAGAGCTTTCTGCCGCAGCCTCCAGGCTGCTGGGCTTACCACCCATAGCCCAGTGTGCCCAAACTCAGTGTTGGTTTTCCCACCTGTAAAATGGAACTCTGCCCTGGGACCCACTCTTGAGCCAGCCTTGGTTGACTACTCAGTGACGGCATTTGTTCCAGGGTTGTCTCACGAATCTCCCACTTCCCTGGAAATGCAGCCCAGGCTTGTTTCTAGTTAGGCCTTGCGGGGTGGCATGAGCACAGGTGCTGACATTCTGTGGTGAAGACTTAGGTGCCATCCTGAGGTGAGTGGACTGATCAGAGGCTCCCACGCCTGTGCCCCCTTCCAGCACTTTCAACCTTGTCCGAGTGTGGGTTAAGGATGTGGGACCTGTTTCTCCTCAGCCTCTGAATGCAGCCCAGGGCAGGATAGACAACATGCACTCCAGGCCCCTGCAGCCAGGTCCTGTAGAAGCTAATGCCCTTGATACAGAGGCTGTGTTTACAGAGGCAAGATGGGGTGCTCTCAGCTCCAAGCCTAGGGGCAAGTTCTCACTCGCATTGACTGACCCTGCTGGCTCTGCCCAATATGACTGTGGGGTCCACAGTTCCTGAACCATCAACAGGAAAGAACCTGTCTATAGTGTAAATTGTTGGGCAAAGCTTGTCTTGCTGTTATAGACCATTGTCACCACTGAAAGTGACAGACATGCCTAGCTGAGGGTGGCAGAGGCCCAGTGGTGGGAGTGAGAAGAGAGGTGAGTTGTGTCCTTTATTTTGGGGTCTCAAGGATGGAGATCGTGCCGGTGATCTGGGGTGTGGTGGAGCAGCCGGAAGTGCAGCTGTGTATTGCATAAGCAGAGTGGTTTCCCTTGAGCCGCAGGGAGTGATGTTTTGCATCAGGTCTTGATGGTGCTGACACTGCTGGACTTGGGGTTTTTCCAGCCCTTGCCTGGTCAGCATTTGCAGATGACCTCTAGTGGCCTGCCTGCTCTGTGAGCCCAAGACTGCAACACCCACCCTGTACAGTCTATCCCAGGCAGCCCTCTGGGTTAGGGCAAAATTGAGGAGGGGCTGAGGAGATAGAGGCTGGGTGGTCTATGTGACCCCTGGTCTGCTGGTGGGCATCACCCTGTGGAACCTGAACCCCACATTGCTCAGTGGGGGGGGCAGGTGCTACCCCATGCAGGGAGGGGCAGCCAGGACCACCTCATCACCTCATCTGTCCTGGCGGTGGAACCTAGCATCCTGAATGGAGGACTGAGAGGGTTGGGACAGCTCTTGGGGACATAGGTCCGTCCACCTAGTCCTCAGAAATCAATCTAAAAGAAAGAAGAACCTTCAGTTCCTGTTTTGCTTTGGACAGTAAAGCTGTGAGGAAAGATGAATTAAATCCAATAAAGGCAGGTGGGAAAGGAGCCTGGTTGGGAGGATGGAAGTGGGGGTTGGTAGGGGACAGGGTATGGCAGGGGGGAAGGAAGAAAGACTGATACAGGCCACTGTTCCATTGTCTGGGTCCCACCCATCCTGCCATCTCTTCCGGACTCCTCCCTCTCCCCCACCCTGGTCTTTCCTCTCTTCCTCTGCTCAGGTCAGGTGGACCAAGGCCTGGGAGGGTGGACGGAATGCCAGGGGAGGGAGCTGACTAAGCCAGACCTAGAAAGCCACACCCAGTGTGAACTGGACAGGAATAAACTGTTGTCCTCAGACACATGCAGGGAAAACTAAGCAAGGTTCTGTGATGGCCAGAGAGGCCTCACAGGACTTCCACTTGCACAGAGCTACTTCACACCTGGAGCTCTGCCCAGCGTGACCTTGGGCAACCCAGCTGCTCTGCTCTGTCATCTGTCTGTCTGTATCTGATCTGTCTGCCATCCATCTGTGGTCTATCAGTCAGTCGCCAACCACTGACCACTTCTTTGCTCATCCACCTATTACCACCTCTAGCTACAGTGAAAAGGTTCAGCACACCACCTTCTCTCCTTACTTAACTCCCCCCAACTTTCCATGTCCCCCCTCCATAGATTCCTTCACTTTCCCCCAAGGCCTCACAAAGCCTGGCGGCTTGTGCAGCAGTGGCTCTGAAAGAAAGACGCCCTCCTGTCATAGGGCAGGACCCTGAGCGCTCCCCACTTCTGGTCCCCTGGCTTCCCCTGTGTGCCCCACAGTGGCATCCCCTGCCCTTGGCAAATGCTGCTTCTCACTCCTTACACCTTGAGGGTTGAGCTTCAGGTGGGATAGATATGCACCAGGAACACAAGGGAGAGCCAGGCTTTGAGCAGATCCCTGAAAGTTGTGTGGGGTTGTGCCCCATCCTGACTGCCTCTCTGGCCTTGGTTGCTGACACACAGGCCCATGGGCAAGTGAGTGGGCTGCTGCAGAGATTTATGCCAGGGATGCAAGTGTGGGTGGGGAGCCAGGCCAGACTAGGGGTTCATAAGCAGAGACACAGGCGTGAGAGGGGGACCACCTCCACCCCAGCTCAGGCAGAGCTGGGTAGACAAATGACTGGCCCTTCCTTCTTTGGAGTAACCCTGGTCTTGTGGCCTGGCAGGATGCAGACATAGGCCCCGTGGGGACACTGTAAATGGCGGTGCTAATCCAGGACACCAAATACAGAATAAACTCTGATGCTCCATCGTGACGGTAACAGTGAAGGTGGTTGGAGGGACTAAGGGGAGGGCCTTGGGCTGGGCCTGAGCAGGCATGCATGTCTCAAAGCCCCGAGACTGGACATCTGAGTGTGAGTCACAGGGGCCAGAGGTGCAAGTTTGGGAGCTAGAAGGGGCTGTCATGGATGCTACTGGAGGAGCACCTGATACCCGGGGTGAGGTATGAGGGAGCTGGGGGGCCTGGGGCTTACAATCCTCACTATCACACTTTGTTGCCATTTCCCCCAAGATTCCTGAGGACCACCCTGGTTTGGCAGCCTAGGACTCAGTGCAGCATCTTGGGCTCAACCCCATTCCCTGCTGTGCCTGGGTGTCTTGTTGAAAGAGGAACTATGCCATCTGTTGACCATGTCCATGGTCATGGTGCTGCTCTGACACTGGCATCCCTCCCATGTGGCTCCTGGCCACTCCCCCCGCAGGCCACCCCAGGGACATGGGGCCAGCAGTGTTCACCTGGGCCAGTTCCTGGATGGACTGGGCCTAGATACTATCCCCTGGCTGGCAGGGAGGAGCTGGCAAGGATGATGGGATGGACGTGGCTGACAAGCCTGGCTGGTGTGGGGAACGGGATGTGGCCAGTTCATGGATGGGAACCACAGCAGGAGGGGGTGTCTGAGCCCCCCCCCCCCCACATCTTTATATCTGGAACCTCTGTGCTACCTGCCCCTGGCCACCAGTATGATTTCAGTTTTGCCAGGCTCTGGCTCATCACCTACCATCCACTGTACCAAGTCTTGCTTCGTGGACCTTTTTTTCAGGTATGACCAGCTTTCAACATCCCTTTTGTGGGACAGACACTACCTGGAACAGAGCTACCCATGGCCTGTTCTAGTCACTGACATGTGGGTCTTATTTCATCCACCTCCCTCTACTTTTGTCTCGATGTGTTAACACAGGGCCCAGGGTTAGGTCATTTCCCTGTAAGCACTTCAGTTGGTCGGCCATGTGGGTGAAATGGTAGCATCTAGGCTCAGCTGGATGAGGTGAGGCCCCTTAATTGCTTTGAGTCAGCAGCTGGCTGTTGTTGGGGTCTCCGCAGGGTTGAAGCCTCCCAATACCAGTTCTGTCTTTCCCTTCCTCCTTGGTCTCACTCATTTTGGAGTGAGGCTGTTCTTAGGGGTACAGAGAAGGTGTGTGGCATGCAGACTGTGGGGGCCATGAGAGTGATGGAACTTTCCGTGAGGGGCTGGTAGGGGTCAGGAGCTAGGTGCCCAAGGACATGTGGGTGATATCTGGAGACACCAAAGACGCTACTCCCCCAAGATTACAGGTGGGGAGTGGGTCTGAGGGGCCCTGTGTGAGAGTAACTGTTTTCAGAGCCACATAGGAAGAGTATCAGCTTTATTGATCATTGATGCTTAGAAAAGTGGGAGCTTGGCCCCCAAGAGAGGCAGGGGTTCTGCCCGTCACTGCTGGTAGAGGGTATCTGCAGGGTCACCAGGTGGCTACCTCCCAGTGGCCATCGAGCCCAGGTGTGAAACTTGAGCCAGCAGCTACTACCTGGGGGACTGGCGACGGAGTCCCGGTCAGGAAGCATGAAGGCTGCGGTCACCCGGGTTTCAGCACACGGGACTGGGGCTCGGCTGCGTTAGCAGAGGGCAGGGTGTTTCCTCATCCCTCTGTAAATGTCCTGAGACCACGGCCAGCCCTGGTCCCTTGCTGGTCCATCCTCAGATCTGAGCGTCTGTGGCAGCCACGACCTTCCTTGGACTTTCCAGTTCTGTCCTTTGAGGCTCATACCCCCTGATCCAGGAGGAGCTGCCTAGGATAGAGCAGGCTGAGTGCTGGGAGTAGTTTGACTACATGCAGCTTGCCTCTGAGGTGCAGTCTGGTGGGGCCATCCTGGGCGCTGGCATTTTTGGGGTGGTGGGCCCCAAGGTAGGTTTGGTTTGCTACTATCTGGCGAGATCTGGGGGCTCTGTAAAGAAGGGAGAGGACTGGTGTTAGAGCTACCTGACTGAGGCTGGGTCCATCCTGGGATCCTGCCTCAGCACTCGCTGAGCATCAGAGCTGTTCCAGAACCAGAAGGGCCTGACTCTGCCAGGGAAAGCCTTAGTTTCTCTTCTGGGTCACTATCAGGATTTAAAGGCCTGACAGGAGGCTGAAAGGGCCTCAGCAGGTGTGGAGGGCAGAGCTGCATGTGCCACAGGGCTCACAGGCCAGGGGCCCTCCTGGACAGAGATGAGATGCATGGCGTTGCTGATGCCAGGCAGAGTTGGGACTGACTGGAGCACCTGGCCAGGAATAAGTAGTCCTGGTTATCACACCGCGAGCAAGAGCGCAGACTGACATCCTGTTCCAGGGCTTCCGCAGGGATAGGCTTTACAACAGGTGGGCCTAGATCAAGCAGCATTGGATGACCCATGGCTACCTGGGTCCTGGCCTCAGTGGGAGGGCAGCCTGTGCATCCTCTAGGGCAGTGGCCATTAGTGGGCCAGACATGCCCAACAGGGCAGCAAAAGACCCTGTCACCAGCATCTACTTGTCTCTGTCATCTGTTCCTGACACAGGTGCTCAATGTACATGGCAGCCTCCTGTCCACTCAGCATGGGCACTGCTGGTGAATGGACAGTGTGAGCAGTGCCCACCACTCCTTTGGGATAGTCCTAAAGACTGACAATGAAGCCATCTTAACCCATGATGTACTGTGCAGCCGTGGCTGGGGCCCTACACATCAATGCATTACTACCTTCAAGGCACTTGGGGTGCCAGTGTCTGAGTCCCCTCAAAACACCATGAATAGGAGCGTCTTTGTCAAACATGTTTCAAAGGTCACCCATCCTTCCTGTAACCCCTGCTTCTAAGCTGGGTGATCGAAGGCAGGCCCTCAGCCATTCTGAGCAATTCAGGGGGCTGAGGTGATGTGGGGTTCACATGGCCAGGTATGCCTACCATGTGAGGCCCAGGCGAGGGTAGACCTGGGGGCACCACATGAAGCCCCTGAGTACCCTTCTGCTTGCGGTTGAGTGGTGACTGCTGGTGTGGCACAGGAGTGGGGGCCACCCCCCAAACTTACCTGATCCCCTACTGCCGGGGCGCCATGTCCACCATGGGCTTTTGGACACCAAAGGCGGTGATGAAGATGTTAACTACGACGATGATGAAGACCAGGCCAGTGGCCAGGTTGTTGAGGAAGTCCAGCTTGGCGTGCTTGGCAGGGTTGTTGAGGTCGTACTTGACTATGGGCAAGAGAAAGTGGCTGCTGTGCTGGCCTAGCACCAGGCTGGCATGTGTGTCCCCCACCCCACCGCTGTAGGAGTGAGTTCTGGATCCAGAAAGGTGTGCCTGCTTTAACAGCACAGTCTCAGGTCGATAGTGGCCTGCTCGGCACCTCCCCTCTGAGGGCCTGCTTCCTGCACAAACAGAAGTACAGACAGCCCAGCATCCCCTTGGGGTCAAGGGCTGAACGTGTGATCCCAGGCTCAGGTTTGCTTTTTCGGCATTGGGTTGATTAGCACAGGTTGTGCCCCTTTCTCAGTGCCTGCACGAGTCTAATGATCTCACACCCACCCAGGGCCCTGAACACTTTATACACCACTTTATAAGTGTGAACACCTGCCCAAAGCCAGATGTAGCCATGGAGGTCAAGGCCAGCATAGAGCCCTGCTGCTCCTCACCCGGGGACTAGATGTACACAGTAGGTGTCTGATACTGAGAGTGCTTAGTATGTTTGATGTTTTCCTGTGTCCTCAACTTGGGTGGGTGGGAGGGGTCATGGGAAGACTGGAGTGCATGTGTGAGCGAGAAGGGCCAGAAACTCCAGTGCTCCGAGTATGTCAAGTAGTGAGCGCCCCATCCAGAGGAGTATGCAAGACAACTGGCCAACCATGGGGCTTCCCAGAACTTACCCAGGAAGATGAGCAGCACGCCTACACCGATCTGCAGCACCAGGGAGATGGAGATGAGGACCACCAGGGGGACAAAGAAGGCGAAGCTGGGGCCCTGCTCGATGACAGCCTTCAGCTGGGAGGCATTGGCCATCAGCAGCGCAATGTCCAGCATGCTCTCAGCCGCACTCTTCTTGTTGGCATAATGGTTCACGTTGATGGGCCGGTTCCTGCTCCAGCGAGGTGGCTGTGGGGAGGGTGGAGGTCAGCCTGGGCTTGCAGCGGATGCAGGATAGGGACCCCAGTTCCCCTGCTTGGTTCCCCCAGTACTGGCAGGGATACCAGGTGTCTATTGGGCCCAGGGAGCGTGAAGAGAGAGGTGCTGTTGATAACAGGAGTCGTGCACCTAGGCAAGACTCCCTAGGGATCAAGTCTTAGAAGAAAGAGGAAGAAGACAACCTCTGCACGCACACATGCTGGCGTCAGGCTAGAAAGTGCCTCAACCACCACTTGCCTTGGGTGAGGCGTCCGAGAGCCCTTCTGTGCCCACACAGTCTGCATCTCCTGCCAGCCCACAGTGCCCGGCTCCCTGCCCTTCCAGGCTGCGTTGGTGACTGTTGGCCAGGCAGGAAGTAACATGTGGGGACGGCATATGGATCCTGGATCCTGCGCACTTGCCCAGACAAACACCAGGCCTTCCCAGGCTGGTGCTGCCCGGGCCACCTCCCCGCGGAGACACAGCAAGTGCTCAACAGATGCCTCAGTGTAGAATCACTGCAGTGGCATTAGCTGCCTCCTTAATTTTTATTAATAAAAAAAAAAAATTTAACCACTGAGGTACATAGTTGACATTCAAAAATCTGAACATATGAAGAACTTGGAAATTTTGGGGCCAATGAAAGCACCACCCACCTCAGGGCAATAAGCAGTCACCCCCTTCATATGTTTCTTCCTGACCCCTCTTTATTATTACCATTAATGTATGATGAAACATGGGTAAGGCAGGAGCTGTATCAGGACCACCCTGGCCTTGTGTTTACATGACAAGACAGAAATGCCAATTCTGGTAACTTCTCTCTGCTTGAGGACATCCCCAGCCTCTGGGCCAGGTCCTTGTCACCTATGAGGGGAGTGCCCCCATGGCACTACCCAGGCACTACCCAGAAATAACTGCCTCCCCAGGAAGCCTCCTTGGCCTAGGCAGAAGGTTGTGTCCACAAAGGCCCCCGCTGGACGGGAACTCATCTCAGGCAGCAACGGTGCCACTGTGTCACTGGGAGGGGCGCAGCTCTGTGTGGACAACCTGCAGGCCCTCCTCTGCTTCCCCTGGCCAGATCCCTCCCCAGCCCTCAGGACAAACCTGCACCCCTGGCCCTTGACCACAGGCCTCCTGGGGGCCACTCAGGAGATCCTGTTTCTGGGCTCATGAAAGATGCAGGAAAGCAGGCAGGTGCTGAGCACTCAGGGCCTCTGCTTTCTGCTGCTGGTAGTATTTCACCAAGGAAAGTAGAGAACCACAGAAGGGTGTGTTTCCTTTTAAGTTTGAATTTAATCTAGAAGAACATGCCCGGGAGGAAGGGAGGGTGGCAGCCTTTGCTCATAGCTCCACCCCCAGCAGCAGCGCCCCCAGAGGGAGCAGATCCACTAGGTTTGAAATTCTAGACCTAAGACCCCACAGGAGAGCCTCCTCCTTGGATCTGGGTCCACCTTGCTCAAGGCACAACCACACACATGGAAACCCACTGGCATTGCGCTCCAGGCTGGCAGTGGGAGTCTCCTGGGGTCTGGTGGGTGGCCTTCTCCCCACGGCCACCCCAGCTCTGCTCTGGCAAAGCGGTCTGGCTGATCACGTCCTGTCATATGTATGCTCCCAAGATCCATAAACCAAAAATGCAACAGTGCCTTGCCATGAGGACGCCCCAATGCTTAGCCCCTGATCCCTGGCCCCCACTCCTGGAGAAAAGTGCAGCTCTTGCGAGGCCTTTTTGCAACACATCCACACACACGAGCATGTAAACACAATCACATCTACACATGCACAGACACACATTCAGTCACTCCAGCCTCCCTTAAACACAAGCATTGAAATATGACACCCCCACACATCAACACACACAAACATGCATGCATCCAACACATACCCACATGTAGACACATGAACACACATCCACATGTAGTCATCCAGCCTACCTGTGTGGTCTGTGTGGTCTGTGTGGTCTGAGTTCTCCTGAACCCTTTTAAATGTTTCACACGCTCATATGCAAATGACAGTCCCAGCACAGGGAGCCTGCGCCTAGGAGTAGCCACACCCTATTCAGCCCTTAGCTGAGTGCCCTCCTCCAGGGACTCATGGGTAAACTGAGGCTAGTCTGGGGAGGTGCCTTGCCAAAGGCAATATACAGGGGTGGGGTGGAGGGGGTGTGGGGGGGGTGTGGGATTTGAACCCAGTCCCTAAGGCTGAAAGACTGGTGCAGACATCACCTCCCACCCCACTTTGGCCCAGGCTGAGTGACCCATGGCCAGCCCCATGGCCTCAGTGACCCACATGAGTAGGCATTAGGAAGCTTCTGGGGGGATCTAAGTTGTGGGGAAGGTTGGGCCCCGGAAGTAACCACTGCACAGGCAAGTCCCAGGGAAGTTTGCCCAGACTGGAGGGCCGCTGGGAGCCCAACTGCTGCACAGCCCCATAGACTCGGACTGGCTGCTGCCTGGCTGGCTGCCAGGAGTCTGCTGGGCACCGCCCATTGAGACTGCGCGTGACCTGGGCTGTACAGGGGGCAAACATCCTAGTTAATGTGTCCCTGGGGCTACCCAGATTTCCCAAAACCTCAGGAGCCAGGTGAGGAAGGGTGAGTTCTGGGCCTTTGTCCCTATAAGCCAGGAAGGAGCCCCTGGGGTGAGCCAGCTTCAGATGGGGCACCCACACAGTTGGCATCCTGTGCCTACTTCTGTGGACAGACTCCTCTTCACAGGGGCGTGAGGGACTCGGGTCACACTGCTGGGTGTCCTCGGCTCCAGCAGGAGGGGAGTGGGACAGAGCAGACCTGAACCCTGGTGAGCAGCACTGCTTCTGGTTCCCCAAAGTGGATGCTCTGTCTTCCTCGGCTTGGATGGGAAGGCATGGAGATGCTGCCCACAGTCACTGACTGGGCCACAGTCTCCTGCCAGGGTGCCCCTGCTCCCCTGGGAGAAAGAGGCCAGGGCTGAGGCCATTAATTCCCAGCAGAATGGAGGGGGGTATCTCCAATGCTACCTGGCTCCGCATACTACTGTGACTCCCAGGGATCGTGCACACATCTGGAACACCACAAAGGAATTCCTGTGCCTGCTCCCAGAGCCTGTTTTCATGCCAGCAGAGCGAGAGACCAGCCCCTAACAAGTCTGAGAGTCACTGACTACCCAGCAGGGGCTGGGTGAGGGCTTCCACCCGCCCGTACCTCCTCTGCCTCCCCCAAACCCCATTCCACCATTGAGCTTCCAGGTGATGCTTGATGCATTTTACACCCGGGGTGCAGGGGACTCACTGGGAGACGTAGGTCTGGGAGACGTGCAACCCCCGGGCACAGCCCCACTGGGCAGGATGTTCCTTTCTGCCCCCGCTTTCACTGCTTCCAAAGACAACTGCTCTGATTTGTAATTAACTCCATAAACAACCAGCAGGAGGAGGAAGAGAAAGGACATGTCTGGGGCCGGGTGTGAGATGAGCCAGTCTAAGTTCACACGGCCGAGTGAGGTCCCTCCAGGGCAGAGGCCCTTCCCTTGGGCTCCGTCAGCTGCCAGTTGACACGGGACAGATGTACCCTTCTGGGACAGGACCTGAGAAGCAAGTGGGTTCTGGTGGGGCCTGGGAGACCCTAGCTCACCTCCAGAGAGAGGCATGAGCTCTAGTCTCAGCTCAGCGTGAAGCCACCTGTTTGGGATTACACAGTTGTATCCGCAGGTCCTACTGGTCAGTCTCAGGAAGCCCCCACGAGTCTCCATGTCTGTCCTCGGACAGGAAGTCTGAGGTTGGAGGGCTGTTCCCGAACAGCTGGGCTATGGGTTGGGCTAGGCAGACACATTTCCTGTGGGTTTAGCACTAACTTGGAATGACCTGGTTATACCAAGGTTGCCTTTTAGAACTTGGCCAGGACTCTGCTGACCTTGGGATCCACTGGGGAAGCAGAAATGAAGAAAAAAGAGCAAAATCCCCCAAGCTCTGGCAGGGAAGAGGGAGGAGGCATAGTGAGGAGAGATGCCTACAGACCTCCCCACTGGGGAGTTTTAGGTTGGGAAGGGGAGACATGTCTGCTACACAGGTACACATGTGACCTGAGAAAACTGAGGCTGGGGGGAGGGGGTCTGTTCTTGCCCAAGGACTGTGGTCAGGTCTTCCTGGTGGTCCCTCTGTGGCCGGGGGTTTGCTGGGCACACAACCTACTCTGTCCTGGTGTCTGGGTTCCCGCTTTAGTGGAGATACAACTGAAGACCCCAGGCTTTGACCTCCTTCCAAAAAGCCTTTCTTGGAGGCCAAGACTATATTTGGGAAGGTCACAGGAGCACCCACAGAGGCACAGGGGGGTGGGCATGCGTAGGGGAGAGGATGCCTGTCCCAAACTCTGCCAGAATCTTCTCTGGGAGCAGCCCTGGTGTGGGAGGTAGGAACATCAGCAACACCAGGCAACCAGTTCTGCACACACATCAGCCTTCATCACCATATGAGGATTACCATCCCGTCTCATAGAGGGAAACCGAAGCACAGACCTCATGAGTGATGTGCCCAAGAAAACAAGCAGGTCCTGAGAGTAGGGGGGAAGGTGGAGGCAAAGCAGTGTTGGTGGGCCCAGGCCTGTAGGCCAGGTGAGAAGTGTGACCTGGACACTGGCCACCCCTGCCCAGAGCCTCAGTGCCTTGAGCCTGAAGACCCCAGATGAGCGTGTTCACTCTCATACCAGCCACAGACTCAGGGCTCCAGCCCTCAAGGCCCAACATCCCAGCACATCCTTCTTCCCCAGCCCTTGGAGGTGCAGGCTCTGGGCCTTTGTTCCCACTGCTTCCTCCGTCTGAGATGCCCTTCTACACATCACCCTGTATTCTGGTCCTCCAGGGCCCAGGACCCACACCCCCACTCTTGCAGGAAGCCTCTGACTCTTCACTCCCACCCCCTACCGTGACTCACCCCTGGGAGATCAACACTTGGGTCTTGGCTTTACTGCCAAGCTGGTCTCAGCTCTGCAGAGGTATAAGAGCCAAGGCGGCTATCACTGAGCACACCCAGCCTGCATCTCACTGGTACTTGGGACATACCCAGACCTGGAATGTAGCAAGCCCTCTCCCAGCAGAGCAGGCTCAACGTAGGGGGAGGGGTGTGGGGGGAGAGGTATAGCTTAAGGACCAGGGCAGGGATATAACTGGAACCCTGTCTTTGAACCTGACCCTTAGTTAACAGACAGGTTCCCCTCCCCCCACCATCACTTTCCCAAAGGCAGGTAGGGTCACCGTTCTCCCTTTGAAGCACATGGACAGAAGGCCCATGGACAGAAGGCCCACAGACGTGAAGCAGCCCCCCCCCCCCAAGCTCACACAGCTCACTGCTCCAAGTGCCTCCACTCCAGGTTGGACAGGTACCTAGGGTTTGCACATCTCTCAGATCTTGGTCTGCTCATCTGTTGCCCGCACAAATGTCCTGTGCAAGCCTGAGGCTTTCAGGGTTAGTGAAGGGCCAGCACTGGGGCTTTGCCAAGGACGGAGAGGAGGGGAGGATTATTGGGTGGGATACACGGAGGGCTCTCCTCATATGTCCTCACCCATGACCTGTCACGGAGGCATCACCTAGGCCTTGTCACCCACACCTAAGAAGTGTGGGTAATTGCATAGACTGGTTCCCCCTCTGAGAGGCCATGTCCCTGCCCCCATGCCTGAGGGCCCAGAACTAGAAAGAATGTCCAAAGTCAATAAATCACCCGCCAGCATAGCCAGGACTGTGCCACAAACAAGCGCTGGGGAAGTGCTGGGTTGAGCTAAGAAGCCAGGCATGGATCTCAGCTCCAGCCCTGCTCCAGGGCAGCGGGGAAGGACCTTTTGGCAGGGGACACCAGCTCTAACTGGGTGGGAACACTGCCCACCTGTCCAACACCTCTGCCTTCCAGGCTCGTGGTCACATGAGCCCAAGTTCCCATCGGAGCACTCAGAAGTGCGGTCACCGTGGTCACCGTGAGTGACGTAACTGTCTGCCTGCGGCTGGACCAGAGCCCGGGAATCCAACCCTCGCCCACCCCCAGGCGGCAGTAGGCAGGAGAAGCGGGGGCTCAAAGTTAGAGGGCGGCCAGGGGGTGAGGGCAGGCGTGGGGCCCAGGAAGGCCAGAAGGGAGGTTCCGGCTATAGTGGTTACCCCCCCACACTCTCCCCCCCCCACCGCCGCGGACCGCAGCACTCCACCCCGCCCCGCGCACCCCTACCCCTGCTTGCTCACCTGCCGACGTGATCAGAGCCCCGAGATCACTACTCAGGCTCTGAGCACTACTACGACGGTGCGGGTGAGGCTCCGCGCACTGGGGGTGCGGCGACCCCAGTCTCCCAGTAGAGCGGAAGCGGCTACAGCCGGTAGGCGCCCACAGGTGCCGGAGGAGTGCGGGCGCGCAACCAGAGACGGCGGCCGCCGGCCAAGGTCGCACAGCGGGGCGGGGTGGGGGGGCTTACCGAGGCGTCTGGGGAGCCTGGCGAGCCCTGGTGCAGGTCGCCGTTGAGCTCGTAATCTTCGGTGTTCAAGTCCATCGTGCGGCCGCCTGGGCGGCCTCGCTCGCCGCCAGAGTACAGCCAGCGCCTCAGCCCGCCCCGGCCCG